CACTGTGCATTTCACTTCAATTGAGGGGAGAGACCATAAAAATAAACACAGTGTTGGGGAGGGCGATGCGCAACCACTCATGATTTGCTCTAACTCAGAAACCCAAAAGGTAGCATCCAAAAGGTCACTTGCAAATGACTCCTATATAATGCAGTATACGTCTACAATCGACTACACTTCAGTATTCAAAGAACAGCTATTATAACACTGGCTTTAGCTTTCTTAGTACTCATCTTAAATCAATTTCCTATACTCAGCTTAAAAGCACATTGGATTGCTTCAAAAGTTGAACAAATCAGGTAAAAAAAAAAAAAAGAAAAACAAAGCACATTGGATTCAATATTACACTACATACAAATTCTTCACATATCATAGAGTAACAATTGAACATTTTTCTGAGCTATAAAAAGAAATCAGAAAAATATTTCCCACATGAATTTAGCTCTTTATTATCCCTTACCTAAAGCCCAAAAAATCCAATGAGAAGATGGGTTATAAATGCTTAAGAATCCTGTATATGGCCTGGGCACGGTTGCTCAGGCCTGTAATACCACCACTTTGGGAGGCCAAGACAGGTGGATCACCTGAGGTTGGGAGTTCGAGACCAGCCTGATCAATATGGTGAAACCCCGTCTCTACTAAATACAAAAAATTAGCAGGCTGTGGTGGTGTGCACCTATAAGCCCAGCTATGTGGGAGGTTGAGGCAGAAGAATCACTTGAACCCAGGAGGTGGAGTTGCAGTGAGCCAAGATGGCGCCATTGCACTTCAATCTGGGCAACAAGAGTGAAACTCTGTCTTGGAAAGAAAAAAAAAAAAAAAGAATCCTGTATATGCAGTTTTCCATTCTCATAGTTCTTCAGGATGTTGCATGGAGCTATCAAGGAATAAAAAGATGATTTCCTTATAGGACATACTTTCAGAAACAAAGGCATTAATATAAACAAACTAAAAAGAACTGAGCTATACAAATCTGAAAAAAAAAATGAATAAAATCAAAATAATCTGAAATATATTAAGGCATTGCTATGTATCGTATACTGTTATTAATTCCCACACTATCCTCTGAGGTTGATACTGTACAATCACTAGATTGGAAGCACTCTGAAGGCACGTGTTATGTATTTCGTTCATCAATGGAGAATCTACACTTTGTTCAGACAGTCCCTGCTATATGACAGATGCACAGTAAGATATTTGTTGAATGAATCAATAATCTCCATTTGAAAAAGGAGGTAGCTGAGGCTTAGAGAAGATAAACAATTAGCCAAAGATACATGATGTCAGAATCTATATTCCACCATATTTATGTTCTTTTTCTTTTCTTTTTTTTGAGGCGGAGTTTTGCTCTCGTTGCCCAGGCTGGAGTGCGATGGCATGATCTGGGCTCATCGAAACCTAGGCCTCCTGGATTCAAATGATTCTCCTGCCTCAGCCTCCCAAATAGCCAGGATTACAGGTATGCACCACCATACCCGGCTAATTTTGTATTTTTAGTACAGACGAGGTTTCTCCAGGTTGGTCAGGCTGGTTTCAAACTCCCAACATCAGGTGATCCACCTGCCTCGGCCTCCCAAAGTGCTGGGAATACAAGTGGGAGCCACCTCGCCTAGCCTCATGATCTTTTTTTTTTTTAACTAGAGAATCTTTGTGGAGTAGTGGGGAGTTAAGTTATTGGTATGGTTAATCTTCTTGCTCTTTCCATCTCTGAATGAAGATGAAGTTGCTGAATTGCAATGAAAGGGACAAATTCAGAAAGTCAAAGGAAAAAATAGGAGTCCAATAAAGCAAAATGTTCTTATTTTTCATCCAGCATAGTTCTTCCAGACTGTAGCTTAGCAAACATATATCTGAAGTTTCTAAGGGGGTGACAGTCTGTTTTAATTAACAGTTAACTATTCACCATGCTGTGCAATTGTGATATAATCAGAAATACATTAGTTGTTCTCTGCTTGCAGTTTCTGGCACAGAGCTCCTAAAACCCTTGTAATTTCCTGCACAACAGGGGTGCTAGATACATCTTTGGGTTTAATATTTGATCTCTGATCTGGGTTCCTGACACAGAGCTCCTAATTCCTTGGAATTCCTTGGGCAATGAGAGTGTCTTTTGTTCTAATGAGACAACACCTGGGGAGTTCTTGAATGGGAGATAATTGCCAGAAGGACCAAACTATGGCTACAAGCTTGGATGTTCAGTTCCAACCCTGAGAAGAATGAATGAGGTAATAATTGCTCATGCCTACATGATGAAGCCTTCATTAAGAACCCCTGAACTACAGGGTTTGAAGAGCTCTCAGCTTACTGAGCATGTGGACCGGTCTGGAGGGTAGCACATCCAGGCAGGGCATGGAAACTCTGCCCCCTCCCCTTCACCTAGACCTCATCCTGTATATCTCTTCAACTGGCTGTTAACCTGTATCCTTCCTAACTTCCTTTAGGAATAAATATAAGTAAGTTGTTTCCCTGACTTCTGTGAGCTATGCTAGGAAATTAATCAAACCTGAGTAGGGGCTCGTGGGAACTCCCAATTTAGAGCTGGTTGGTCAGAAGTTCAGGTCATAGCCTGGGATTGCAAATGGTCTCTAAAATGGTGGGAGACAGTGTTGTAGGACTGAAACCTTAACTTGTGGGGTCTAACAGTGTCTCCAGGCAGCTAGTGTCAGAATTGAATTGAATCATGGGATACTCAGTTGGTGTCAGCTGGAGAATTCCTTGGTATGTGGGGGGACAGTCGTCACACATTTGATGTCAGTTGATGTTCTGCGGTCTAAGAAAAGGAAAACTCTTTACCTCTTACATACACTATGCTGAGCAACTTCTGAATACAACTAATAACCAAAAGCATTGAGACAAGTTACAGGAGGTCTTCCAAGTCCAGTGCTTGCTGCCACATACATAGTGCTGAATTTTTGTGTCTGACCTTTAAACACTCTCATTACTCTGCAGCCACAGCCCATTTGTTACCATTATCAAATAAAATGTCAGACAGAGAAATAAAATACCAGTGCTACTGTTGGTCTGGATACCATAGGACATTCCATCTTCAGTCTTAACAAGGTAGAGAGAATGGAACGAGAATCTTCATATTCCAAATAATAGCCTTTGGAGTGTTTCCATATACCAAGCAAGACAGGAGATCTCTGTCTAGATATGCATAACACAGCAGAGTGACTTAATATACACGATTCTCTAAAGACTAGAGCATCGAAAATCAGGAATCTCCTGAATCTAAACAAACTGAGTTGGTTAAAGAAGTCCCATGAGGAGCATGGTATACCTCAGTGGCTGTAACACAGGTCTTGGAGTCTGGCAAGCCTGAATTCTTGACCAAACTTAGTCACTTAGTTCTGCAATATTAGGTATGTTACTTACCCAGTTTCTAATCCATAAAATGGAGATAATAATAGTTGTTACCATAAAGCATTCTTAAGAATACTGAATACAAATATGTACAATGCATAGGTGCAGTGCTAGTAATAATTGAGTACATTGGCTCTTACTTTCATCATTTTTACCACTGCCATCTCTTTTGTCTCATCTCTGAGGAGGTCTCTAAATATAAGCCAAAGGAAATAGACAGAAGCAACGAATGAATAATATTGGTTAATTCATAAGGTCATCTTTGACTTTATTTACGTAATGATCATGCTAGTCAGTGTTACTACCCAATGTGGGTCCCATTCGTGATGCTATATTATAAAAGAACAAGAAAAGAAAAGTAATCCTGGAAGTGACCTCTTTGCAGAAACAGGTTTTAAGTGGGGAGAAGCAACCAGGGTTTGAAAGAAAGAGTTGATCGTGATGGTGTTTCTGTTGCACCTGGCCAGCTGTGGCAGTAGTTATTATTAGGCAAGTAACATTACAGGTGACTGCAAATTCTGAGTCAGAGTCTGAAGAGGAAATTGTAAAATGCAGAAATCAGTAAGCCTTCATTTCAAGTAAGCAGACTAACTTGATGTCTCCATGATTTAGCTCCCCTAAATGTCCTAAAGTTGGAACATTTTATCAAACAGGCCTTAAAGCACAATGGCTTACAAAGAGCTACAAGTCAAACTGCCCGCCATTGAATCCTAATGCCATCATTTACTTGTGATCTCACCAGTAAAAAAGGTGGTTGCGTTTGGTACCAGGTGTATGTTCACTGCTACTGTCATCATCATCACCGCTATTACTGCATTTCTCATTGTGAGCTGTAAATATGTTTTCATGTCTGTTTTCTTCCCCTAGGCTGTGAGCTATCCTAACGAAGGAACTGGATGTATTCATCTCTTTTTCCGTCTCCAGTCCTAACAAACACTCAAAAGTGTTAGCTGAAAGAATGGGTGAATGAATGACGAAATGAGTATCAAACTAAGACACACTCAGAACAGGTACCTTGAGTTTAAGTGCAGAACAATAAGAATAACCTTTTCAGATTATTAATGAAATTATCTGGAGTAATTAAAAGAGGATCAGTCATCTTCTTAGTTTCTCTTCTGTCTATTCAATTCCTAAAGAAAGACCTATGCAGCCTTAACCCATATCCTGAACTTTACAGGCATTAACTATTATTTTTGAGATTTCACAGACTCTTGTTGGCTCTAACATTTTCTCCCCTACCCCCTAAAAAACCCCCTGAAAAATAACAATAGTTACACTTATGGTAAATTCAAAACCCAAAGATAATTTTGAGAAATACTAACAAGATTAGGTCACTATATAACCAAATTAATTTTGAATATTTTTAAATTGATATTAAAAACAAGCCCTATGGTTTTAATATGTTTCCATGATATTTTACTTAAGAACTTCTAAAATATTCTGGTGAGATTAGTCTTTACTCAAGTAGCATAACATTTGCAAGCAATAGTTTGATTTCTGTTCTTGCTTAGAAAAATGATTTTAAATAGTTGAAGGAAATATAATCTGACATCATTTTCCTTTCCTCTCATTTTCCTGTATCCCATCCACTGCACCCATCCACTTCACCAAAAGAGAAATTAGAAACATATGCTTCTCACCTCTAAGAGCTCATCTCCAACATGCATTCGCCCATCTGCTGCAGCAGGTCCTCCTGGGTTAATTCCCACCACAAATATGCTCATGCGTGATCTGTCTTTATTGCCAGCAAGGCTGAGTCCAAGTCCATTCTTATCCTTTTCAAGTTCAATAATGTGCAGTTCTCCAGGTAGATCTGCATATCTTTGTCTGATTTTTTCTATTAAAAGAATGTTTTAAAAATTAAACAGAGTAGCTGGATCTGTCTTATTGAGATGTCAGCATTTCCCCATCCTCACTGTGATTTCTCAACCATGGTATCTATTTTTTTTTTTTTTGAGATGGAATTCCACTCTTGTTGCCCAGGACAGAGTGCAATGGTGTGTTCTTGGCTCACTGCAACCTCCTCCTCTCAGGTTCAAGCGATTCTCCTGCCTCAGCCTCCTGAGTAGCTGGGATTACAGGTGTCTGCCACTATGCCCAGCTAATTTTTTTTGTATTTTCAGTAGGGATGGGGTTTCACCATGTTGGCCAGGCTGGTCTCAAACTCCTGACCTCAGGTGATTCAGCCGCCTAAGCCTCCCAAAATGCTGAGATTACAGGTGTGAGCACCGTGCCTGGCCCTAGGCTGGAGTGTAGTGCCGCAATCCTGGCTCACTGCAACTTCCACCTCCCAGGTTCGAGTGATTCTCCTGTCTCAGCCTCCCAAGTAGCTGGGATTACAGGCGCCCACCACCACACCTGGTTAATTTTTGTATTTTTAGTAGAGACAGGGTTTCACCATGTTGGCCTGGCCAGCTTTGAACCCCTGACCTCAGGTGATTTGCCCACCTCAGCCTCCCAAAGTGCTGGGATTACAGGCATGGGCCACTGCACCGGGCCAACCTTTTTTGTTTTTTAAGAGACAGAGTCTTGCTGTATGGCCCAGACTGAGGTGCTCCAGTGGCTAGTCACAGGCATAACTGTCATATACTACAGCCTCCAACTCCTGGGCTCAAGTAATGCTCTTACCTTAGCCTCCCAAGCTGCTGGAACTACAGGTATGTGGCACTGTGCCAAGCTCTGTATGTAATACTTTCTTTTTGAGAATGAAGGTACTGAAGATCATGCATGGCAACGGCCTTAGATGTAGGTTACAGTTAAAAATTACTTTATTTCCTCCTAAGAAGTTTAACTCACTCATAAAACCTTCTGATTGTTCAGGTTCACACTGGCCTAGACTTTCCGTGGATTCTTTTCTTACCTAAGTCAATCAACACAAAGTGATAGGAACCATGGTCCCCTTCCTATCTGCCCTAAACCACCTGCACTAAAAAGGGAAACAAAAATGTTATCTGAGCACCAGCCGTAAGACAAACAAAGTGTTTGGTCTGAGAGATCTAACACTGAGCCAAACAATCATGGCTTCTACTCTTAGGACTTAAGGTCCAGTAGGAAAGAAAATCAACAATTAATTCGAAATAATTACATTAATATATATTAATACAAAGGGTACAAAATAAGACTGGGTTATGGGAACAAAAGCAAGAGAAATTAAGGGTGTTGGGTTAGCAGTCATATTTGAATTCATTCTACAAATCTACCACGTACTCAATATCTAATAATGAATACACTGTTTTATGCGATCTCACTTCTTCATCTGTAAACTGTTACTATCCATTTCATGAATGTTGGGAAAATTGAAAAACATATGTTAAAGGGCTTAGTAGCTCATAGTTTATAGATGTTCTATACTTCTCTTATTCCATTTTCTGTCTCACTTTGCTACCTCGATGTTCGGGTCAAAAGGACCTGTTTTAGGAGATGGCTGGCTATGTTTCACTGGTGTTGGTTCTGTGCAGCAAAACCACGCTGACAAATCAGTGTGAGGATAGTACTGCTTTAAGCATGCCCTGTACCCCACACAGCAGAAGATCAGGCCAGGTGTGCTGCCACACTCAAAGGCTTCATGCTTACTACCATGGCTGGAAGTAATCATCTCATCAACTTTTAAATAATAAATTAGTAGGTTGTGGATTATGACCCTCTTGGAACTTTTTTTTTTTTTTTTTTTTTTTGAGATAGAGTCTTGCTCTGTTGCCCAGGCTGGAGTGCAATGACACAACCTCAGCTCACTGCAACCTCTGCCTCCTGGGTTCAAGTGATTCTCCTGCCCCAGCCTCCCAAGTAGCTGGGATTACAGGTACCTGCCACCACACCCAGCTAATTTTTTGTATTTTTAGTAGAAACAGCGTTTCACCATGTTGGCCAGGCTGGCCTCAAGATCCACTCTCCTCAGGCTCGCAGATTACAGCAACGAGCCACCGCTCCTGACCTGACCCCTCTTGGAACTCTAAATGCTCGTTCTGATGCTTCACTTATATTACATTTGCTGTCCTTAGGAGGGAACCTTGCAAATTAAAAGCTCAAGTCAAATCGTCCATCTTTAGGTAGAGCAAGGAACAAGACAGCCCAGTCCACTCCATCACTTTACCAGACTTAACAAACACTGCTTTATAAGTGAGTAGATAAATTTAGACTCATAAAAATGATTTTATGCATACACTTATAATAAAAGAATAAAACACAAGGGGGGCTTATTTTAGAAAGAAAATAAATCTGTTTTTCAAGAATTCTGAAGAGAATCTTAAAGGATTCTCACTGAACAAAGCTTGTTACTACTAATAACGAACACGTTTAGCAAAATGCAGTAAAATGAAGGACTTGCAAGGTCACAAAACTGTCAACTATATAGGAAAAATTAAGTCATATTAACACTGAAGTGAATAAATACAAGGCATTTTTGCTGTTCGGCAACCAAGAACAAGATGCCGTGTGGGGACTTGAATGAACAGAGACATGCAAGACGCGAATTACACTAAAGATGCCCACACAGCATAAGAGGAGAAGCAAAGTAAACACAATAAATATTAAACAACTACAGTTATTTAAAAATTCCCAACTGTTATGACTGCTGGTCACTGAATAAATACTAATTTATTAATTAGATCAGGAAATAAATACTAAATTAATTGTGCTACTGATAATTACTTTTATTTTATTTTTTGAGACCAAGTTTTGCTCTGTCACCCAGGCTAGAGTGCAGTGGTGCGATCTTGGGTCACTGCAACCTCCACCTACCAGGTTCAAGCAATTCTCCTGCCTCAGTCTCCTGAGTAGCTGGGATTACAGGGGTGAACCACCAGGCCCAGCTAATTTTTGTATTTTTAGGAGAGAAGGGGTTTCACCATGTGGGCCAGCTGGTCTCAAAATCTTGACCACAGGTGATCCTCCCACCTCGGCCTCTTAAAGGGCTGGGACTACAGGCATGAGCCACCATGCCCGTCCCCAGTAATTGCTATTAGAATTCCAATAATGGAAATGGCTAGAAAAGGTTTTTTGAAATTAGCAAAATTTAAGCAGAGTCTTGAGTAAGGTATAGAATTTGATTATGGGAAGAAGAATCTTGGAGGGTGAAATGGCAAGAGGAAAACGCAGGTGGGATAAGGAGAACATTGGCTGCAAACTGGAACTTCTTTGGATTAGTGGGTGTGTGATTAGAAATGAGACTGAGCACTTTGGGAGGCCGAGGCGGGTGAATCACGAGGTCAAGAGATCTGGTCAACATGGCGAAACCCCGTCTCTACTAAAAATACAAAACAATTAGCTGGGCATAGTGGCGCATGCCTGTAATCCCAGCTACTCGGGAGGCTGAGGCAGGAGAATTGCCTGAACCCAGGAGGCGGAGGTAGCGGTGAGCCAAGATCGCGCCATTGCACTCCAGCCTGGGTAACAAGAGCGAAACTCCGTCTAAAAAAAAAAAAAAAAAAGAAATAAGACTGAAAGGCTAAAAGTTAACTGTTTACAGTGATAATAGTCCATTTTAGGGCTTCTACAGAGGTGCCTAGAGTCCTCCAGGAATGAGGGGTTGAGAGGAGGCTCCATTTAAGATCTTTTCTCCCAGGTTCAACCAGAGCACTTATGCTCTCATCTGCTTTGTTTACTGCACCTATATGGTAAGATAGTTAAAAAATAATAATCACAGCTAAGAAAACAACATAAAACACCAATTTTAACACACCTGTCTCAGATAATAAGGCATCTTTTTTTTAAAAAAGATGATTTTAACAAGACAATACACTCAAAATAGTAGACATAAGAGAACTCTACAACTGACAGACACAAAATACACATTTTTTGCAAATCACACACAGAACAAGTACAGAAACAGACTGCATATTGGGCCATAAAGGAAACTTCAGTACCTCTCAAAGACTCAATATTACATAGGCTGTGCTCTTGAAATATAGTGCAATAAAACAAAAAAATCATAAATTAACAATAAAAACATAGGTGCTTAAAAATAAATTAATGTTAGTAAAAAACCTAAGACTTTAAACAGTAAATTAAGAAATACAGTATTCACAATTGAATAAAAAGTGTAATTCTAGATGTCAAACTAGAGAGACACAGCTAAAGCAGAACTTAGAAGGCAATTTATAATTTTGAAGAATTTACCAAAAACCAAGTTTAAAAAAAAGCATTATAACCAAGAAGTTGGAAAATGAACTACATAACAAATGCAAAGAAATAAGAAGAGAGAAAATAGCAAAATAAGGGCATCTACAAACAAATGAATACAGAACTATCACCACAAAACAAAACAAAACAAAAATAACATGTGAAGGTCAATGAAATTAAAGCTTACTTTTTGGAAAACACGAATGAGATAGGCTCTTCAAAAACTTAACAAGAAAAAATAGATGATAAAAATAAATTACAAAGCTGGATACAGTGGCTTATGCTTATAATCCCAGCATTTTAGGAGGACTGCTTGAACCCAGAACTTTGAGACAAGCCTGTGCAACATAGTGAGACCCTCTCTGTACAAAACACTTAAAAAGTTAGCCTGGTGGCGTGCACCTATAATTTTGGCTACTCAGGAGGTTGAGGTGGGAGGATCGCAAGTCCAGGAGTTCAAAGCTATAGTGAGCTGTGATTGTGCTACGCATTTTAACCTGGGCAACAGAGTGAGGCCCCATCTCTAAAAATAAATAAATAAAAATAAATTGCAGAAGTAAAAGAGAAAAATAAGTGCAGACAGGTTTTTACAAAAAAATTATGGACAGTACATCAATACAAACTATGAGTTGGTACATTTAAAAATCTATATGATGTAGATATATTTCTCAAAAAAATTAAAACACAATATTTAGTGCAAGAATAAATGTAAAACTGTAA